GCAACACTCACACTCACACTTACACTTCTACTCACACGAATACGCAATCTCCTACGCAATCAGGTCCATCCGACTTCGAAGACTTCGGAACGCCACCTCCTAATCTACCAACCAAACGCTATCCCGCAGAACCGGGACTAGCACCAAATCTACGACTCTAACTACTGGTGGTCTTCATCGTCGCCGTCGACGCCTGAACGCCACCCAAACTATCTTCTCGGTCGCCGGCCGCCGCGCGAACTCCTTCCGCGCGCGCGCGGGCTCGCGTACAGCAGGGGATGACGAAGTGGCACTGTCCGCGAGGGGGTGACTCTTGGGCAGCACAGACCATTCTAGAATTATTTAACCTTTCCGAATTTCCACTTTCCGAATGAGAAATCCGAATTTCTCACTTTCCGAATGCAAATAATTATTTATTTATTCGGAATCATTACCTTGGCCTACGGTACCTATTTCTAAATATTAAGGCTAAGTGTCATTGCGTGCGGTTTTCCTACAAACGTCAACAGTAACCCGTTACCCGTAACCCGAGCCTGCAGCCTGCGGCCCGCGACGTGTGACGACGTAGGTACGACGTAGGACTATGATACGTATTACGTACTACCGTAGATATTTTAGCTAGTGCACATTCGCCGCAGCCGAATCTTCCGGGGAGTATAATGCGGTGCGGCGTGCACACTGCCAGTGCACGAGTCCGTCCGAGTTGGTCCGAGTCCGGAGTCCGGACTCCGCCTAAACAGTACTGGAATTCGGCGCCTATTACCTACCTAGGTAGGTACCAGCCTACTACTACCTAGGTAGTGCGGTTTCCCGTACCTCCAGTAGGTACCTACAGCAGTACCGTTCTCCCGGCATTTGGAGTACGGCAGCAGATAAAAACAAAGTTCTGTACATATATCAGGCACTGTTCCCTACAAGCCGATCAGAGGACTGTACACTTTTTGGTGTGCGCGCGGGTTGCGCGGCAACTACCCCGGGGTACTATCCAACACCGCACCCGGGAAAGCAAGCAGCCCTTCCTGTGACTTTTAGGGTCTCGCAAGCATGACCGGGAGACAACCGGGTACTTCCAAGTGATTGTCGGTCACATTCCGCTAGGTTTTTATTAGTCCCCGGGGTTCTGTACCTGTACAACATTCCTCTGCGGTTAAAGTGCTTCCTAATAGGTAGGGAACATGGTCCTAACACGTACAAAACTTTGTGGTTATCAGCAGAGACCCATGGTCTACCGTACTACCGTAATGCGATGTGTCCATGTGTCAAGGCGATTACCGTAGGTATCAATATTGGTACGTACGGTAGCGTGGATAGGCCGTTAACACAATTAGGCGGGTCGAATTTAATTCCCGGGTTCCGGTCCTACCCCCTTTTGGGTGGGTCGGTCGGTCGGGAAAATTAATAGTTGGTTTTTTGCTAGTATGTTTGAAATATGAAATAATATGGGGTATTTTTGGGGGAAAACCTCGTTTCTTGGCCCAGATCTTTTAGACTGTCAATACTTTCAACCCAGAATCGGAAAATCTGGGACAAAATATCCACTATAGTTATTATTTTTTAGAATCCTTCGGATTTTGGGTCGGTCGGGGACCGGAAACCGGGAATTAACTTCGAGTCGCCTCAAGTGCCCTTGTTGACTTGAGCCAATTGCAAGTATAGAAACATAATACCCTACCTGGGTAGTAGCTGATCATATAATTCTAGTACGTGTATATTACGGTATAGACAAGTACAAGATTCAGTGGCGGAGCTGAGGAGCTCCAGCCAACGTCCGTCCCACGAGTCGTGACTCTCACGAAGCTTTTCGGCTTATGGCCTCCGGGGCGTTCTGTTTACGGTATGCCACCCAGTTTGAAATATCTGATTACGCTTCGGACACTTTGGGTGCACTAGGTACACCTGTACACCAGCATAGAGCTACGGTATCGTAGTACCTAGGTAGGTACTAGGTACTGTTCCATTCCGGCAGCAGACCTAGGTATGTCGTGTACCG